ACATTGTTAATAGAAAATCAACACAAATCCAAGAATGGAAATTACTTTGAGAGTGAAAAAATATGTGTATTGCGGACACGACGATAATGGAAAAAATATCAAGATCAAAATCACATAGCCATAATTGCAATAAAGATAATCCACTAAAATTGAGAATATGTGTGAGTAAGAGTTAAAAAGGGAGAGAGGGGAAGACACAGAGATGGAGCTACCTGGCATCAGTAGGTTTGCATCATCGCTGGTGGATGGCATTGATTTGCTATGGGTCACGGTTGCTGCCAGACGTAACTGGTTGGCTGTTGCTAGGTGGCTTCATTTTGGGGAATGGAGGCGAGTGAGAGAGAGATAATGGGATGTTTCGTGAAGAGCAATCAAGATGCGAATGCGAGTTTGAAGGTTGGAGGTCGACTGGTAGCAATAATGGTTGCAGTAATGGTGAAGGAGAGATAAGGGATGTGTGTGAGAGAGAGGCAGAGAAAAGACGGAGAGAATGGGGCAGATGGAAGGAGAGATGAGGGAAGGAGATTTGGGAGGTTTGGTTTATTTGGGGGAAGGAGATAGGGAAGAGCTTGAATTTGGGGATGTAGTGGCTTCAATTTGGAAAGACAGAGAGATGATTTGGGCGTGATTGTGGGGAGTCATAAAAGGAAATTCTGTTGAGCTGGAAAAAGAATTCATTAATTAATATGATCAGTAGGAAAATACTTTTGAGTTGATCCAAGTCGCAAAAAAATTAAAGATAACATGGACCCTTGGATGTAATTTATCTTTTGCTTAGAATTGATCTGAGTCTCAAAAAGCTTAAGATAAATTTTGGGATTTAAACTCAACTCTACTTTATTTTATAGATGTGTGTGTATGTATTATTTCTATTATAGAGTTACTATCTAACAATTTTGAGGAGTTTTCAATTGATGGTAGAGGGGAATTGTTTTGTCTTCACTAGTGCTATTTTTTTATTAGTGCTTCATTGTCGTTACTTTTTTTTTATAAAATTAATGACCAGTTGCTAGAAATTTCATTGTTTTCATGAGAAAGGGTAAAATTGTTATCATTGTCATGCATGGAACCTTTGTTTTGAACCATTTTTTTTCGTCTAATGTGTTGAGGTCAATTGGATAGTTTATTGCAAAGTTGAATTTGTTCATTGTATAGGAACACAAGTGTGGATAGGAGTTGGATGCAACAAAAGAATAGATTGCACCATACTTTCCGATTGAGAGTGAAAGAATTCCTCTAGTTTGCATATGCCCATAAAGAACCACATAGCAAGATCCATGTCCATGTATGAAGTGTAACAACTTCTGTGACTACCCTCGAGAAGTTGTTAAAAGGCATTTATTGATGCACGGGATAGTTCACAGTTATGTTAGGTGGATATATCAAGGGGAAGACTTTGAAAACAATTTTGCTAATGATGAGGGTGTTGAGGAGAACTATGAGGAAGGTAATGAAGTTGATGATATGCATGGTATGATAGATGATATTGCCACTAGTCGTTTTGGGGACCATTGGGGGTTGGAGAAGAATCTATTAAGTAGGGTGTTCATGTGGATGGAGGGAGAAACGAATACATTTCTTAAATTGTTGAATGATGCAGAGCAAGAACTTTATCCGGGATGCAAGTAGTTCTCTAAGTTGTCTTTTCTTGTGAAGCTGCTTCATTTGAAAATGATGTATCGTGTGAGCAGTAAGTGTTTTGGCATGTTGCTTGAAATATTAAAGGTTGTCTTTCCAATGTGATTCATTTTCGAAGTCGTATTATTTGAAGATAATGTGTTAAGGCATCCTGCTGATTCCGACGTATGAAAATATTTTGATAAAAAGCACTAGTTATTTGCCCAGGATCCTCACAATGTTAGGCTTGGTGTAGCAAGTGATGGCTTCAATCCTTTTTGGCAACATGAGTAATGCTTACAACATTTGACCAGTATTTCTTGTACCATACAATTTTCCTCCTTGGAAATGTATGAAGGATCCTTTTCTCATGATGTCCATGATTATTCTAAGACCAAATTCTTCAGGAAATGACATCGACGTATTTCTATAACCATTAATTGATTAGCTAAAAGAATTATAGGAAGATGAATTTGAAACATATGAAGGGTATTAGGGATAGCAGTTGATCGAGCAAAAATGGGTATTCGTCAACACCATCCTGTTTTAACCGGGGATGGACTATACGTATTGAACGGTGGACGTATATGGGGATACCCGTATAATCCTGTGTGGGGATGAAGGCGAGAATGGACTTACCCTTACCCCGTCCCCATTATCCGTTAAAATATATATATAAATACTCTCAGTTAAATTCATAGTTCATTCAGAAAATAAACACCTCATTCATTCGTGTGTAGTGTTTATTTTCATAGTTCTTCCATTTCCCTATTTTGTGTAATTTTTTCTGGATTTTGGGTTCATAGTTTAAGTTCATGGTTATTTTGAATACTAGCCCCATCTCATTTACAAAACTAATTGAGATCCATTCTATACACCGTTCATTTACAGAACTTAATAGAAAGAATCACAAACAATAACAATTGTGTGCATATACAATACATGCACTTTTTCACTGGGATTAAGTTATGCAAAAGAAATCTCACAATTTAAAAGAAATAAAGAAAAAAATTACTTGGATGTACCAGTTTAACACCTATATACTTCTTCCTAATTTTTAGCTTTCAATTCAAGGAGGTCATATGAAAACCTAAATGAAAAAGTCACTTGAACATGGGAATTGCTACTTCTCCACCAACATAATCAAAGAAGTTAAAACAAACGAAAGAAGATTGACAAAGTGGTTGAGCAGCCAGACAGACAGATCATCTGTGCTCAAGGAGAATTAATCTTTTATACTGACCACTTCTACAAATAATCGTTTTAGTGATATGTTTTGGGCTTGGGTGGGTACGGCGGAAGCAGGGACAAGGACAGGGATTAAAAATTTACCCACGAACGGGGATGGGGATGAAAATTATACCCATTAACGGGAGTGGACCGGGAATAGACGAAGATTTTTTTAAGCGAGTACGGGAATGAAGACTATACCCCCCGCCCCCGTTTCGGTCCATTGACATCCCTAATGGTTACACTGAAGAGAAATTTTGCTTGCGTGTAGCACTACTATGGACTATCAATGATTTTCCCGCTTATGCTAACTTGTCCGGATGGAGTACAAAAGGGTATATGGCATGTCCAGTTTGCATGAGTGAGACTTCCTCCAAATATTTGCCAAATGGAAAGAAGTGTTGTTACATTGGACATCTTTATTTCTTACCAACTAATCATAGATGGTGAAAGGAGACTAAGTCATTTGATGGTGAGAAAGACTTTAGGGAACCAGTTTAACCATTATCTGGGGATGACATATTGAAATATTTGAATGCTATTGATCAAGTTGTTTTCGGTAAGGCCCTTGAACTAATTCGAGAGAAAAAAAAAAGTAAACATCAGGAAAGTGATTTGAATTGGACAAAGAAGAGCATTTTCTTCGAATTGCCATATTGGAAAACCTTGAAACAACGACATAAGCTGGACATCATGCACATAGAGAAGAATGTATGTGATAATGTGCTTGGTACATTAATGAATATTGATGGAAAGACTAACGACAATTGGAAGGCTCGTAAGGATTTGATGGCAGTGGGCCTAAGGCCGGAATTACACCTTCGTTTTGAAGGTGATAAAGTTCTTATGTTGTCTACATGTTACCAGTTATCCCATAATGAGAAGAGAAAAATATGTGAATTCTTAACTTCAATCAAGTTTCCAGATGGGTTTGCCTCAAACATTTCTTGATGTGTGTAGATAAAAGAGTGGTATTTCTGGATTGAAGAGTCACGGCTGTCTACATCCGTCAACTTAATTGAAATATGGTTAGATCTCTTTCAATTCTATTGTATCTTTATTTAAATATAGATGAAAACGTCAATTTTCATTGGAACGCACGTAGTGACATCTGATTTAAAATTTTAATTAACGATGCTAATATTTGACAATATCAAGTGGGATGCTATGGCTGTTGTCTCTCTCAAGAACGTTAAATACAGTTCATAGGATCATGGTTGCCATGTTGAATGAGTCTCAAGTCTTACCCCTAAACTAATTACTTTGATTAATTCTACTACGAGTTTTCGATTCATCAACGTAATTGATTAAACAAATGAATTGTTTAGATCATTTAATATTAGACAGTTGATGTATTTCTCCTTTGTATATACACTAAGCTAAGCAGATATTACGTAAAACAAGTACTGATTGATAAAGACAAGAAACAAAAAAAAAAAGGTACTACTTGATATTATGCATTTATTTATTTATTTATTATTTTTTACATTGCAACCAATCTGAAGAATAGAGGTTAATAACAAATTACAAGTAATTTTACATTCAACATAAGAACACATAACAAAAGAAACCCGTAAATATACAAATTAATGCCAATCACCGAAAGCACAATTGTGGATTTCTGGATTTCCTAGAGAATTTCACAGGACAAGCAGTGTGGTGGCCTACATTTGATTCTTAAGAGACGATCTTCTATTTGATGAGAGGAAGAACAGAGTAAAGTCCAGGTTGAAATGGATACTAAATCAGTGGTAGACCTCAATTCAATTGAGTTCAATAGTTGCAGGTTCCTCGTGAAGAAACCAGAAGTACAGCAGAAGGCACATGTCTACCTTGGCTGAATGTCATCTTTTCGACAAAAATAAAAAAAATGATACTATGTTAAGTGATATCATCCCAATGAAAAAAGTCATATAGTTGTAGCTACAAAAATGATATTAGACCATGTCCTTTACGTATTCCAATTCAAGTGGTCCAACACTTACAAATGGATGAGTAGTACGAGTTAGTCGTAGTGAGATTTCTTTCGATATATTTTCTCTTCATTAAATGGAATTAAAAACACAAACAGGTCACAACCGTATGGGCTAAGACTAACTTGTATATACAAAAGCTATTTTCTCCCTAGAAATTCATGCCCCTAAAGACTAGACAAAAAAAAAAAACCAGAAACAAAAAGATAAACAAAACAAGTCGATGCCCAGACTGAATTTGTCCTAGGTAAACAAATTGGGAAAATTTTGTCATTCTGCAGACAACAGTTACAATGAGCTTAACTGAAGCTCCTTTATTGAACAGGGCACCTTGTTCCTCATCCAGTGCTTGTTCTGGGCTGTTTTGCCCTGCTCAGGCGTCTTTCTATCGGGTTGATGTTGTGATCGCTATATGAAGATCAATGGCTAGTTGCTAAAGCGGTCACCAAGAGACCAAGTATGAGGAATGGTTGAGCACTGGCCTGAAATGAAACATTAGACACAGGTTAGCTAGCTTCCAATTTGGCAACTCACTGGACAGATGATTACAAGGTTTCACATATTATGAACCTAAACCCACGACAGACAGCCATTATAGTTTTGGGTTGGGTTACTTGGAAAAGGGCAAAAGAGGAGTGTGGTTCTTTCACATGCTGAATTTGATCATAGCTGGGATCAGAGAATCAAAGATCAAGACTATTTGTACTGCAAGAATGGTGATCACTCAAAAGCCTCGACCGCACACCCGAACAACTAACATCATTTAGCATAAACCTAGTATGAGAATCTTTCAGCAGTTTGTATGTTTATATTTTGATGACAAGTATAGATTCTTCAAAGTGAGGGAAGAGAGAGGTACCTGATATTTTACATCATATTTGACAGGGTCTTTGAGGAAGTACTTGAACTGCAAGAGTAAATTCACAAGGTTTAGGACAACTGTATTCATCTTAAGCAATCCCTAATCATTCTAGAGACAAAATGCACTCATCTTAAGTAATGTCATAATCTATTCTCAAGGAATATTCTTTACCTGGAAGAAGACTTGTGGAGCAATTAAACCAAGAAGCGCCAAGGCGTAATATGGTTTACCAGCCCCTAGAAGATAGCCTGCAAACAAATAATTCATATCACACACGAGCAACTTCTCATGCGAAGATGTCATTAATTGTGTTCTACCAAATTTGATGTACGAAAACATAATTGATTAATCGAAATCTGTTATTTACAACATATTCTCCTTCACTGATCCCAACCATAGACAGAAAAGAACAATTAAAAAAATGAGGCCAGCAAGCACCCATCCTGCCAAGTTCCTGTTTCAACTGGAGATTCGAATTCCACATCACAGAAATTTGGATCTAGGACCTTTTTGTCAATTCAAAGAGCACTTATTTCTGGCCCATTCCTTTTTACCTATACCTGCCCCAGAAAGTTGCTTATAGAGAAATAGTGGAAAACTCTCCCAAAGTGGAATTCATAAATTCGAATAAAACTCTCAAAATGTATACTACAAAAAGTCAATCACATCCCAGTACACTTTCTAGATTCATTAAGGTTGGTGTCAAAGGTGGAGAGTTTGTCCACAAAATGGAATTGAAGGATTAAAGAGCTCAGTGTATTTGGACATTGTGACCACATAACAGCTCAAAGCCAGCTTAAAAGATAATTAGAAGTCATAATCATCCTATTTTGGAGGAAGTGAACTTTGGCCAGTGGAGTGCAACTGCGTGAACGTCAACAGACATGAGAACATTNAGAAGTCATAATCATCCTATTTTGGAGGAAGTGAACTTTGGCCAGTGGAGTGCAACAGCATGAACGTCAACAGACATGAGAACAGTNCACTAAGCTAAGCAGATATTACGTAAAACAAGTACTGATTGATAAAGACAAGAAACAAAAAAAAAAAGGTACTACTTGATATTATGCATTTATTTATTTATTTATTATTTTTTACATTGCAACCAATCTGAAGAATAGAGGTTAATAACAAATTACAAGTAATTTTACATTCAACATAAGAACACATAACAAAAGAAACCCGTAAATATACAAATTAATGCCAATCACCGAAAGCACAATTGTGGATTTCTGGATTTCCTAGAGAATTTCACAGGACAAGCAGTGTGGTGGCCTACATTTGATTCTTAAGAGACGATCTTCTATTTGATGAGAGGAAGAACAGAGTAAAGTCCAGGTTGAAATGGATACTAAATCAGTGGTAGACCTCAATTCAATTGAGTTCAATAGTTGCAGGTTCCTCGTGAAGAAACCAGAAGTACAGCAGAAGGCACATGTCTACCTTGGCTGAATGTCATCTTTTCGACAAAAATAAAAAAAATGATACTATGTCAAGTGATATCATCCCAATGAAAAAAGTCATATAGTTGTAGCTACAAAAATGATATTAGACCATGTCCTTTACGTATTCCAATTCAAGTGGTCCAACACTTACAAATGGATGAGTAGTACGAGTTAGTCGTAGTGAGATTTCTTTCGATATATTTTCTCTTCATTAAATGGAATTAAAAACACAAACAGGTCACAACCGTATGGGCTAAGACTAACTTGTATATACAAAAGCTATTTTCTCCCTAGAAATTCATGCCCCTAAAGACTAGACAAAAAAAAAAAACCAGAAACAAAAAGATAAACAAAACAAGTCGATGCCCAGACTGAATTTGTCCTAGGTAAACAAATTGGGAAAATTTTGTCATTCTGCAGACAACAGTTACAATGAGCTTAACTGAAGCTCCTTTATTGAACAGGGCACCTTGTTCCTCATCCAGTGCTTGTTCTGGGCTGTTTTGCCCTGCTCAGGCGTCTTTCTATCGGGTTTGATGTTGTGATCGCTATATGAAGATCAATGGCTAGTTGCTAAAGCGGTCACCAAGAGACCAAGTATGAGGAATGGTTGAGCACTGGCCTGAAATGAAACATTAGACACAGGTTAGCTAGCTTCCAATTTGGCAACTCACTGGACAGATGATTACAAGGTTTCACATATTATGAACCTAAACCCACGACAGACAGCCATTATAGTTTTGGGTTGGGTTACTTGGAAAAGGGCAAAAGAGGAGTGTGGTTCTTTCACATGCTGAATTTGATCATAGCTGGGATCAGAGAATCAAAGATCAAGACTATTTGTACTGCAAGAATGGTGATCACTCAAAAGCCTCGACTGCACACCCGAACAACTAACATCATTTAGCATAAACCTAGTATGAGAATCTTTCAGCAGTTTGTATGTTTATATTTTGATGACAAGTATAGATTCTTCAAAGTGAGGGAAGAGAGAGGTACCTGATATTTTACATCATATTTGACAGGGTCTTTGAGGAAGTACTTGAACTGCAAGAGTAAATTCACAAGGTTTAGGACAACTGTATTCATCTTAAGCAATCCCTAATCATTCTAGAGACAAAATGCACTCATCTTAAGTAATGTCATAATCTATTCTCAAGGAATATTCTTTACCTGGAAGAAGACTTGTGGAGCAATTAAACCAAGAAGCGCCAAGGCGTAATATGGTTTACCAGCCCCTAGAAGATAGCCTGCAAACAAATAATTCATATCACACACGAGCAACTTCTCATGCGAAGATGTCATTAATTGTGTTCTACCAAATTTGATGTACGAAAACATAATTGATTAATTGAAATCTGTTATTTACAACATATTCTCCTTCACTGATCCCAACCATAGACAGAAAAGAACAATTAAAAAAATGAGGCCAGCAAGCACCCATCCTGCCAAGTTCCTGTTTCAACTGGAGATTCGAATTCCACATCACAGAAATTTGGATCTAGGACCTTTTTGTCAATTCAAAGAGCACTTATTTCTGGCCCATTCCTTTTTACCTATACCTGCCCCAGAAAGTTGCTTATAGAGAAATAGTGGAAAACTCTCCCAAAGTGGAATTCATAAATTCGAATAAAACTCTCAAAATGTATACTACAAAAAGTCAATCACATCCCAGTACACTTTCTAGATTCATTAAGGTTGGTGTCAAAGGTGGAGAGTTTGTCCACAAAATGGAATTGAAGGATTAAAGAGCTCAGTGTATTTGGACATTGTGACCACATAACAGCTCAAAGCCAGCTTAAAAGATAATTAGAAGTCATAATCATCCTATTTTGGAGGAAGTGAACTTTGGCCAGTGGAGTGCAACAGCATGAACGTCAACAGACATGAGAACATTCTACTTTCCAATGTAAACTAGGTATAGGGACTTGAATAAACTCTGCAGTAGTGCAAATTTCGCATTATGTAGCTTGCATGCTACTTGCCTTCTTATGGCATGTAACACTCATTTGTGCTATTAAGTGTGAAAGTGCTTGCTGGCATTGACTTATCATAGTATAGTACAGCACTCCTATTGTTGTGCACATAACTTCTGTAAACTCATCCAGAAGCACTATCTTGAACCTTACAAAGTGTGGTCAACATAAGGCATAATAGGAATATACCAGCCACAGATATCTGAGTTACGTCGATAGCGCCAACACAAATCCATTTTGCAGCCTCAGAACCAAAAGCTACTGGTAATGACTGCCAAAGAGTAAAATCATTCAACGTTTTTACATCCACGTATATATATGATTATTCTTGTGCAGATGGCAAAGTTTCACATGAAATCCTACCTGAAGTCCCATTGCTCTATCTCCTTCAACACTTTTGAAGTCATTCACAATAGCAATGCCCAACTAAAAGTGAAATGGGAAAATAAGTTAGTGTTGAACGCTTCATTGTGTTAAATGCATACAAACAACATGTGCGGGCAAAGACATACCCCAGCTATGCTATACAAGAGTGTGAGCACAATTATATCTGGTGTAAGGGTTCCAAACAACGCTTGACCAGCCCACCTATCATTAAGGGGAAAAAGGCGTTTATTTTACCCAATAATTTAGAGGTTCCTGTTTCAGCATAAGGCACCCAAAAGAAATGTAAACATCATGATTTTTGGCAACCCAGAAAATTTCTGTCAAAGGCACGTTCACATATAGATGTCATAAACCAATGAAGAGAATCCACCCCTTTACAGTTGCCTCCTACCAATCTCATCACATTATTATTTGAACAATTATAACCATCAAATATAAACTGAATCTTGAATGGCTTGGCAAAAACTTTGCAAGGATAGTCATAATTAGGACAATTGAAAAAAATAGGAAAAAATACCTTCCTCCTGGTTCTTGAGAATATAGAGGAAAAAGAAAAGATATTGCTCAAAAATGCTTGAGAAAGACAGTCATTTAAAAGCATTTCATTTTACTTTCCCTGGTTTTTTCCTAGCTTTGACATCAACTTAGCCAAGGTAATAAGACAGAAAATATCTCACCATGGCAAACTGATGTAGCTAGCTCCTAGAGCAAAATTCCCAATCCATCCATTCTGCTTGAGCTGCAATATTTGAAGGATGGTAGTTAGGAATTGTGCAAACACAACCTACGGTCCTTAATAGTTAACAAATTAGAATTGCAAATCAAGATTCAAGTAGCCAACCTCAAATAGTCTCTACGAAGTTTTATTNTGCAATATTTGAAGGATGGTAGTTAGGAATTGTGCAAACACAACCTACGGTCCTTAATAGTTAACAAATTAGAATTGCAAATCAAGATTCAAGTAGCCAACCTCAAATAGTCTCTACAAAGTTTTATTGAGTTGAGGATTGAAGTAAATTGGTTTGATCGAGATTAAAGAAATCAGATTTTTTTAATAAATATAGGAGAAAAGAAAAATTACCTTTAGAGGAGGAGCTGAGTAGATGTAGGACAGCAGGGATCCTCCTAGAGCAAGGTAAAATATTACAGGAATATTATGTCCTGCCTGTGAAGGACAAGTATTTAGGAAATGGCATTCCCACATAATTTGTAAAAGAGAGAAGGAAGAATCACTTAGAGATCATACCCACACGTCTAAGAAACCAGCCAGCCCAAGGCCTCCTAAAAGCAACAACCAGATTTGGGTGATTACCTGAGAGAAAAATAATTCCAAAAATGTAAAATCAACTGGAATCAGAGAAATTTTGTGATCATATGCACATATTCTACCACCCAATTACATCACTTACCTCATTCTCAGATATAGCCCCTGAAGGAATTGGACGATAAGGTTCATTGATGGCGTCAATCTCTCTATCATACCAATCATTCAATGTCTAAAGGGTTGAAATCACACAAATTCTACATACTTTAGTATGAAGCAATCATTCAAGCATAAACAAATACGATTTCTGCATTCACCATTTGAAGCAGTCAAGAGGAAGAAATACCATTGCTGCATTCAACAGATGTACCTGTGTATAGCCAGTTAGGCACGGCCCAGACATTATCATGCAAACAATTGCTTTGGCAACATCCTCCAAGTTCCAATGGAAATTTCCTGCAGGAGGAAGATTATCCGGTCACAAGGGCCTAACTAACACACAAACATGTGTTGCAAACATAATAGGTTTCCTTAAGCAAAACTACGAGGAATGCCATCACTTAAGCATTAAAAGATAAGTTCATTGACGAGCACCATACTAAAACCATGATCACACCATATGACAAGAGTTGCAGACGTGGTCCCACATTATCATATATTCCGATAATCAACCTAAATTCTTGTGTATATATTTTTACTCCTAACCAGCTGCAAATAAATGCTGACGTGAAGAGGTGGTGTGTACATGCACTGTCACCAAATAATAAGGTAAATCTAGCATGCTACATTGGAACTATTAGTTGGATCTCTATAGGGCCAATTTCTATAACTACACAAATATAACAACCAGACACGTCATGCCACAAGAAGCTTCCAATTCCCAAGTTTGCAAAGACGATACCAGAAGCAGCAGCTCCACAGACGATTCCCCAAACCAACGGAGGCCAAGTAACAGGTTTTGTAAGTTGAACACGGATTTTCCACTTATCCTGCATGAGACAAACAGAAGGTTGGACAATTTACTCTGGTCATCTAAGAATTGAACAAAAGAGTAAATTTTCTCATTCTTTCCAGTGAATGACAACCTCTATTTCAACCTTTATAAAATAATTTAACTCGACTCCACGTTATTGAAAACCAAAATCCCTCCAAATTAATCACAAATCTGGAGCCACGAGTCTCCTATTTAATGTCTATATTTTCCCACGCACATTTTCCTCTTGGGCACCAACTATCGACCACGTTTTCTTGAGCTCACAGTTCTTATTCCACGTGAAATAGCATTAACACTACTTAAGGCTAACATGAGTTCAGCCCAAACACTGGTTTTTTCCCTTGACTCATTTGATTTCCACTGAAATAATATTTGTGTGTATACCATATAAACAGATTAAGCATCAATTTCAACAATGGTGATTAAAACCCTATCTTAATTGATAACAAATTCGAAAAAGAACCAGAATTTAGCGATTCACCGTCTCTTGCTTGGCTCCTTTGATACCAAGAATCTGATTGATGCTGGACCCACCACTAGCCGGCGCCTTATCTGGTGCCGTAGCTTTGACTGCCACACAAAATCAGATCCCAAAACTCTTTGAAAAATATCCCAATAAACACCCACTATTCCCTTCAAGCAAGAAAACTTACATATGCCCATAAACCCATCATTTTAAAGCCAAAATCATCAAAACAACCATACAAACAGAGACTCCAACATACCTTCATTTGCATCAGTCTCAGTTGCTCTGACTATAATCCTCCGACCTAAAAAATTTCATACATGGAGATATTATCTGCAGTGAGTTTGTGTGTGAAACTAGATGATTTCAAGTTAAAGAGATGAAAGAGAAACGATTGAGCTTACGAGATAGACAAAGAGAAACAGGCGTCACTGCAGGTGGTGGACTTCGAAGTCTGGTAGCCTTTACGTTGGATAACCTAATTGATGAGAGAGTGTTGAGAACGGAGGCCATGGGCAGTGAATAAATGTTAAGCAGGCGGAGTGAGTGAGGAAAGAAGTGGCTTTAGTGGGTCTGTCTTGTGATAACTCTGCCCGTAGCCTACTCTCTCTCTCTCTCTCTCTCGCAAAAAATATTTGAAGCTGTGTGGCTTGTCTACGGTGTTTCTCTATTGTAACTAACTTAAGGTGTTGATGTTGACTACGTGGCACATTTGGAATGGAGATAATAACACTGGATTGGTGATTTAGCAAATAGGGTTTGACCCTCTTCTAATTACGGTATTTCAACTTCCTATTCATATTTTGTAGAAAGAATTTTTTTTTTCGCCTACCTTACCCATATATTATTTCTACTCAAATTCCGTTCAAAACAATCAGGTAGGAAGTTGGGTAGAAAATCGGGTAAACACATTTTTTAATTATTAACTTTTGAATTATTTTAACAATTTAATTAAATAACCTACATCAATTAACTAATACAATAAACAAATAACACTAAAGAAAACACAATAAATTAGATAATACATAAATAATTACAATAAAATATAACAAGAAAATTATAAATATCAATACATCATATATAAGAAAGTCACAAACATCAATAAAACATTAGGGTTTCTAAATTTTTGAATTGTTTCGGTCACCTAGGAAACGAAAATGTTTCGACGCGTTTCAGAAATGTTCGACCCATTTTAAAAATAAAATGGAAAAAAATAAACAATGTAAGAATTAATTTTTCAAAATATTGGTCGAAATATACCAAAATATCTTAAAATACCTTGAAATATTCCAAAATAATTGTGCAAATGCATTGAAATATAACAAAATATTTTGAAACATTATGGAACACTTCGATATATTTGAATTTCGATTTCATTACTGATTCGTTTCGATCTCCTTGAAAACGGAAACGGTTTCGAATATTTCAATCATTTCAAAACAATATTTTGATCCTTGATCCCGACTCGATTCATTATTACCATTTAATACTTGATATTGAATAGTAATAAATATCATGTAATAGGTAATATTATTTTTAAATATTGTTCATTTTCTGAACACAGTGGCCTAATCAAGCTAGAGACCACTTCTCAATAGAATCTAACCAGTCTGGCCAAGATTCTCCACCTAGAGATTTCGGTTTTCTTTCCATTTCTCAATCTTTTGCAAAGTTCAAGCTCCTCAAATGAGATTCCTCTGGGGAATGAGATTCCAAACTCCACCCACCAACATGGTCTCCTGCCCCCCATTCACTCCAAGGTCGAAAATCAGAAAAGTTCCTGGAAGAATACAATTTTGTGCGAATTTTCTCATTCTGAAAAAGACCAAATTGACATATGTCAAGAATATTTGGCAACAGATTCATAATTTAGTCAGCATGTATCATTTGATATTGAGAATCACACAAGTGTAGGATATATGAAATTTAAAATTTATGTAAGTCGGATGCTCAAAGGTTACTTTTGAGTCGAACCAATAACGCAGCTAGATGATAATAAACAAATCTTTCACGAAAAAAAAAAAAAGCATCGTACCTAAATAGTTTCTGCAACATGGCCGAATCATACCCACATTGACTAGCTCTTTTACTTTCCTTTTTTAATGTAGTTGAACAAACTGTTATTTACTCCATTGAAAATATGTTTTGTTTGAATTGGAACCAATGTTGTTTTAGCTAAGGACACAAATTACCATCTGAATATGTTTTTCTTTTCCACATCTCATTATGAATTCAAATGTATAACGAAAAGGACCTCCTATTCCACAGTTGTAGCTCCAGGAACTCCCTGCCCTGTCACAAGATCATGTACCGATTCTAACCCACACCCTCCTCAAGAGGAGGGGTCTCATTGTGCTCATCAAAATTAGTGGAAATAATTGAATAATGTCATCTGATGATGTTAAAACCTCAAAAGCATGAGATAAGTGCTTGAACTGAGGAGTTCAAGGGTTAAGAACAATGATATACCTATGATCAGTGTGCGAGAGATTTTGGCTGAACCTAGTGGCTTTGGAATAAGCTACAGGAAACATAGAATAGATGTAAGAGCTAGAAAATATGAATAATAACGCATAGTCTATAGTGGTTCATCGGCTGAAGAGTTTGGTTAGTCCATGTTGATTATGTATGTAGCATGATAGAGCGGAGATAGAAAATTGATGGATACTGAGCAACTCAGTCTAAGCTCCTAGGCTCGCAAGACTTGTGTAAGGGAATGGGGATTAACACATAGCGAGTTTATAATGGTTCACCAGATCGGGAACTCGGTTAGTCTACTTTCAAAGGAGTCTCTTCCCCCTATGGCTTAATAAAAAATGAGATTACAAAAAGTTGTTCTGATTACAATTGTTTGTCCTTTTTGTTGAGGGTTATGCCTCATATTTATAGTCGGTCTTAGGCTTCGCTTGATCTTCTGCGAGATCCTTGTCTCTTCCTTTGTAACAGTTGTGGTGGGCATTGGGGCACTTGCAAGTCTTCTACCTGGATTTTTGCCTGTTTATTGTTGTTACTATTCGGATGGCACTTAGATGGAAGTCAGCTATCTTCTATACTACACTTGTGGGGGTATAGTTGCAGAGGATAGAAGGTCTAACTCTAAGAAGCTGTAGGGATTTCACTATTGGGAGAAAAAAATACAGAGGGCGGCTATACAATACACGTCAAACCCTAATCACCAAAATAACAGGTTTTATATGTTTTGTGCACCGGGCTACAAAACAGGCCCAAGTCGATTTATATGTCCTACGGCTTGAACCTATCGACCCAAGCCTCTGCTCCATGGACTAAGTCTCAGACAATTTTTCATTAAAAACTACATAACATTATTTCGGGTTGGGTCATCATTCGAATCAACACAAATTAGACTCCACAAAAAAAACCAAACAAATCTCCCACTTGGAGACTAGTTCAATCACCAACATCAACCACAATCTTCCAAAAGAAACAGTCTCTCATCCCTGCAACTCATCCTTCTGTTTTCAAGCTGAGAGACCCACAGAAGCTAAACAAGACTTCAGTTTCTCTACAATAACCACTTTCGTGAAAATGTTTGCCGGATTATCTCTTCTGTGAATCTTCGCCAAAGTGAACTGTTCATTCTCTAACAAAGAGTGAATAAAGTGATACTTTTTGTCGATAGGTTTGGTCTTTGAATAAAAGGCTGCATTTTTCGCTAGATGTATCGCACTCTGACTATTGCTGAACAATTTAAAATTGTCTTGCTCCTTACCCATCTATTTCATGAGGCTCCTCAACCATACCATCTCCTTGCATGCCTCCGTGACTGCAACATTCTCCACCTCTATTGTTGAAATAGTCACTATTTTCTGTAGCCTCGAGACCCAACTGACTTCTGCACTGCCCAATATAAAAACATACTATGTAGTGTTCTTCCTGTTGTCAATGTCCCCTGCTAAATCAGAATCTACAAACCCTTGCAAACAAATATTAGAACCCCCAAAATTCAAAGTCAAATCTGCAGTACCTCTTAAGTAGTGCAAAATCCACTTGACTACTTCACAATGCTCCTTGCCTGGATTTGCCATGAACCTGCTAACAACTCTTATTGCATGAGCAATATCTGGCTTTGTATTAATCATGGCATACACCAAACTACCTACCGTCGAGGTATATGAAACATTTGTCATATAGTTATGCGTTTCATCTAGTACTGCACAATTTTCCTTCGAAAGCTTAAAGTGACTTGTCAAAGCTGTGCTAACTGACTTAGCATTCTCCATGTTGAACCTTTTCAACATACTCCTCATGTGACAACTTCAACTTCATGTTTGCTTTGTCCCTACTAATTCGCATTCCAAGAATTTTCTTCACATAGGCCAAATCGTTCATTGCAAACTTCTTTGACAGTTGTGCCTTGAGATTAACAATCTCATTCATGCTTGAACCTGCAACAAGCATATTGATGAGTGCGCAAAAGTGCATTCTAAATATCATATTATTGGATTAAAATGCTAAAATGTGAATAGAAATAATTAGATATAATTTATATTATTGAATTTAATATCTATTCACACCGAGATATATTTGAGCATGATTTTTATAATATTTTAAATCTTAAATATTACATTATTAGTTGGTGAGAGATAATTTATAAATGGACTTTACAATTAACATTTTTGAAACTTTATTATTTGGTTATTATATTTATTTTTATGGCAGCCACATGGAGTAAAGCTGAAGATGTAACTGTCATGTGGGACCCAACAATCAGCATAATTTTTTTTATGGGTTTTATCCTTCACATGGTTTAGGCTTTAGGGGATGATGTAAAAGGGCTGGAATCAAAAGGGGAGGAAAAGAGTTTTTTTCTAAAAAAGAGAGATTAACTTAAAACTTCTTTTTTCTTGTCTTGGTGGGGGGTGAACGAACAGAGGGAGGCGGATGGTTTTCAACTTTGGGGTGGACGCAGATCAGGGAGTGAAGAAAAACTCCAATGGCAGCTAGTTTGCTCTATTTATTTTGTAGATTTTTGTTGTTCACTATATTTATGGGTAACTAAATTTTTAAGGTAGAGCAAGGGATGAACTTGCACAGTAGATGATATTTTATTTATTTTTAATGCATTTGATTTCTAATTAGTAAAACTCTTTTATTTTATCATTCTCAATTTATTGTTAATGTTTTCTTCTCCGAATAGTCATAGAATTTATTCTATTTATGAATTTAGTCAGGTTTTTTCTGTTGAATGGACTAACTCTTTAATTATGTTTAGATCAATTATTTATCTATATTGATGTAATTCTTTTCTACAATATTGCTTCTTGAGTATATTCTCGTCGTTGGACTTTTTCAATATTGATAATAATTTATGTATTTTCAAAGTGGTAAATGATTTTTCAAAGGGTTACATTTGGTTTAATCTTGGTTTATAAATCCATACCTTCCAGCTGAAAATTTTGGGAATTGAATTCTCAATTGAGTTATACAATGAATTAAGAATAATTAAAATACCAGATTTATGCAAGAGATTCTCGACTCTTTACTATTTGTCAAATTTGAATACTTTTTCCATTGGTCACTTTGCTTCACTTTAAGTTACATTTAAAATTAATCTTTATTCTCTAGTAATCATTTAATATTTTTCTTTAGTTCTTTTGTTCCTTCTACTATTCTTTTAGTTTGTCTCT